TGACAGCTACTGTGAACTGAAGACCCCTCTGCTCAAGGGGGCTGCTTTACAGTGGTGAGGGCCTGCTCACACAGCAGACCCTACGTCTGCACATCTGCAGAAGTGCTGCTGGGGGCTGATCAAGATCTCAGCCCCCTCTCTCCTCCAACTGGCTGTTGCAGCGAAGACCAAGACCCTCCTGGTCTTGGTGTACCTTGTGCCCTTACAGACACCAAGGGCCAGGTATCACTCCCTTCTTCCCCACTTCCTCTACTAATCCACTCTCCCTACCTCTCCTCTCTCCTCTTACTCACCCCTTCTTTTCTCCCCACCTTCCACTGCATCTTTTCTCTCCTCCTTTTATCTTCCCCACCCCACCTTTCTCCCAACACCCATTCTTTTACTCTCCTTTCTTTATTTCTTTTTTTTTCTTCCTCCTTCTTTTCTCTTTGCTTCTTGATCCCTGTCCACCTTTTCCCATCCCTCCTCTCCCCCAACTACCACCACACCATCCCCCCTACCTCCCACTTCATCTTTTTCTCTCTCCCCACCTATTTTTTTCTTTTCTCCCTCACTTTTCATTCCCCTTCCCCCCTACTTCGAAAATTTTTCTGTTTTTCTTCTTTCCACCTCTCTTTTGATTTATCTTTTCTCTTTTCCAAAAATTCGAAATTTCTTCTTCCCCACCCGCTTTTCTGATTTTCTGATTCATTTCATTTATTTTTCTATTTATTCTGAAAATTCGATTTTCTCTACGGGAACCCTAAATCTGATTAGTTGTTAGTTTTCTCATCTTCTTCCCCACCCTCTTTTCTTATTTTCTGATTTATTTTATTTATTTATTTTTATTCTGAAAGTTCGAATTTCTTGGCGGCAACCCTAAATCTGATTAGGTGTTAGCCTTTCTTGCTTTCGGCACACGTTTTGACCCCGTGGGGGTAAGCTGCCGAAATTTTCTGATTTTCTCTTACTTAGTCTTTTCAGCACACTTCGACCCCATGGGGATAACGAAATGCTGCCAAAAGTTTTGGAAAAAAAAATCAGATAACCCATTTCTCCCCACCTCCTCACACACTTATTTAATTATTTATTTATTTACTTATTTATTTATTTATTTATTTATTTTTATTTTTTTTAAATTTTTTTTTTTGCGGCATCTCTAGTGTGCTCACCTTGGTCTCTCCTTTTCCCCTGGCACATTCTTGACCCCGTGGGGGGTAGGGAACTGCTGCCGAAAATTTTAAAAAAATAAATATTGTTTCCCTTCACATCTCTTTACTTATTTCTTTAATTATTTTTATTATTTATTTATTTTCTTATTTATTTTTATTTTCTCCCGAGATCTCGCTGTTTATTTATTTTTCTCCCGTCCCCCCCCCCTTATGCTTGCTATTTTACTTTCTTGATTAGGTCACCGGTACCCTACCCTAGCCTCTTAAACCTCGGTTAGGGTTTTCTTAGGGTTTTTGTAGGGTTTAGGGTTCCTAAACCCCCCCCTACTTCCCCGTCCTTTTCGGGCACCCTGAACCCGTACCACCCCTCCTCCTTTGACGGCGCCCGTGCTAGCCTTGCGAGCGCCGTTCGCCGCTTTCTACTGCGGACTTCCCCCTACGCCCTCCGCTCACGCGGACCTCTTCTGGCCCCTTCCAGTCCGGTCCGTCATCTATCCATGGCCGACGGTGCGTCACACGCCGCCGACACGACAATGACCACGGCATCGAGCTCCACACCCGTGCCGGCGGACCAGGTCCATCAGCCCAGGGGGATCTACACACCCTCCTCACCTCCCTCCTTGCGCCCATCCAGGCGCAACTCGCGACCCTTGCGCCCATCCAGGTGCAACTCGCGACCCTCGCGCCCTTACAGGCGCAGGTGGCGACCCTTGCCGCCGGCATGCAGCAACTCCAGGACACTGCGTGTCCGTCATCTCCTAGCTCCCAGTCCGGGTCCCCCGTCCTCCGACAGGGTGGCCACGGCGGAGCTTCCTCCTCCGTTGCCCCTGACCCGACCATCTTGGTGACTGTCCACACCCCTAGCACGACGGACGCCACGAGCACAGCCCCCCCTCAGTCTACGGGCGCACCCGCCCAGATCCCGGCCACTACGGCCACGGTACAACAACCCTCTACCATGGTCTCAGCTTTTCCGGGTGCCCCACTTCTCCCTCCCCTTCGCACGACCGCAGCGCCACCTGGCTCTCCCCCCTCTGGGATGCCCCGCGCCGCTTGTGCGTCCACCCCCTCCACTCTTCCTCCTACCACCCCTCGATCGACCTACGTTCAAGGTCTCGTAGACGAGATTACCCAGCTCCGGGCCGACCTCGCCCTCTTACGCCTTCAGCCACCCCCACCCTCACAGGTGGCCTCGCCTTCGGGCGCACCCCCTACCTCCTCTACCCTTCCTCCCATGCAGGCTCGCTTTCCGCGCCCTGCACCCTATACAACTCCTTCCTACCTTCTTCCTACTCCCGCGGTTGCTGCGACCTCTTCTACCGCAGCACCCTTGCAGCCTGCCGCTGTTGCCACCGCCGCTCCCCGATCCGGCCCGGGCGCATAGTCAGCTGTGCCCCTTTCTCCAGGACCTGCGCCGACTTACTCAGCCGTGGCACAGGCCTTCGCTCCTCGATCCCCTCGCCGCCAAAACGGTGGCGCACCACTCATCCGCTTGTCGGACATTGCCTTGTATGACGGTACAGGCATACGCGTGTCTCGGTGGCTGCAGTCTGCCACCCGCACACTCCAGCTCATGGGCGCCACACCTGAGACATGGGTGGGTCACCTCTCCACGCGCCTGTGTGGCGGTCCTTTCGAGGCCTGGGAGGATTTCTATGCCTACTCCCTTCGTGAGGGTCGGACTCCGACCTTCGTGGATTTCCAGGCGTTCCTCGAGGACCGCTTCGGAGCCCGATACGACGTGACTGACGCCTTCGAGCGTGTCGTCACTACACGCTGGTCCGGCTCTGGTGGCGCTGCCGGCCTGGATCGCCACATCCAGGTCTTTCAGGACGCCCGCCTCGTTTGCGACGTGGCGCTCCTCCCCGAGGTTGCACTTATCGATCGTTTCTTGGCCAGCCTTTCGCTCGAGTACCGCTTCGAGCTATGGCAGTACGAGTTCACTTCGGCCCCACAGGCTTATGAGGCCGCCAGGGACCACCAGCGGATGCGAGCCCGTCTTCACCCCGCCTCCTCCTCCCAGCCCCAGCGCACAGGCTACGCCTCCTCCTCCTCTCACGGCACATCCCAGCGTCGTTCCCCTTTCCATGGTCGCCCCCGCCGTTCCACGCAGCAGGGCCGCCACTTCTCGTGCCGCTTCAGCGCGCTGGAGTATGGTGAGCAGAACGTTGTTGCCCCACTGTCACCTAAGGGCGACCACAGCGACGACCTCGATCTCTGTGAGGCCATCCACTATCACTTAGAGGACTCTACCCTTTCTGCAGCTGGGCGCCTTCAGCTCGCGCTCTCCGCCCTCTCTCGGGCACGCAACCCCCCCGGTCACGCTGGCGCGTCGCCCCCCGAGGTCCCTCAGGAGGACCTCCCTCAGCGCTTCGTCCCTCCTCGCGGTGTCCTTTCCGCTGAGGAGCGCGCGGCTATTCTAGGCCGACGTGGGTGTTTGCGCTGCCGCTTGGACGGTCATACCTCCTCGCGGTGCCCTTACACTACCGCCCTCGACCGCCACTACGCTGACCTTTCTCGTCAGCATCGTGCTCAGTCCCCCACCGGCGCCTCATGTCCCCACGGCACCTCCTAGCCACGGTGCAGTGTACACCTGCGCCCTCCTCAGTAGTGGGCTTCCCGACGTCTCCGTCGCGGTTCGCCCCTCTCGCTACTGGAGTTGAGGTATCGCACGACTCAACAGAGTGTACTCAGCCCTGTGTCGCAGTACCGTCTGCGCCCCCGCAGACCACCGTCTCCCCTCCTTCCCCGCCGCGACTACCGACGCGTCGAGCCATTCGCTCAGCCTGTTGCAGCGAGCAGCTTGCTACTCGCGAGGACGTTGTGTCATCTCTTCTGGACTTGAGCATGCTCCAGGCTCGTCAGGAGTGACTCACCCTCCATGTCGCTGCACTGCGTCGCCTTCTCGCCATCCTCTCTGACCCTAATCGCACCCTCCCGATCATCCCAGTACGACTCGGGACCTCCACGAGGGTGTACTCAGCGCTGTGAGATTCCGGTTCTCAGGGCGACTTCATTCACCCACGCGTGGTGAAGGAAGCCCGCTTACCCACGACAGGGTCTCCGACTCCCATCTGCGTTACCCTAGGGGATGACAAGACCCAACGCTTCTTCGATCAGACGATCACCGACCTCCCCTTCTTCCTCACTCTCGAGCCGACTGATCGTTCCCCGGCGTCTCGTCGCCACCGCTCCTCTGCACATTTCGATGTGATGGAGACGGGGTACGACTTCATTCTCGGCACTCCGTGGTCTCATCGGTTCCGCAGCACCGAGGCCGATTGGGCGACCAACACTCTCGTTCTCAAAACGAAGTGTGGACAGACGTATCGCGTACCTTTTATAGGTACCACGGCGACACCACGCCCCGATCCCCCTCCCCCGGAGCCTTTAGTGCCCACACCATCTCCCTCTATCACTGTCACCTCGCCTCAGCAGTTCGCTCACTTCATTCGACAGGACGACGTCACCTTCTTTATGGTGGACATGACGGATCTCTTACACTATGATCCACCCTATCCCAACGTCGAGCTCATCCCTCTAGAGCTAGATCCTCCCTCTATCTTCATGGCTCCCATCTCTACTTCCGTCCCTCTGCCGTCGGTCGAGTCCACCCCGTCGTCGCGTGCTGACGCTGACGCTGAGGAACTCGCACGATATACGGCTGACCTAGAGCCCGCAGTTCGTGACCTCATCCGAGAGTACCACGACGTTTTTCCATCGTCGTTCTCGTACGCCGGCATCTCACCGATGCGTGATGTCGAGCACTCCATTCAGCTTGTGCCTGACTATCGTATTCACCACCAGGCACCCTACAGACTCTCGATCCCCGAGGCCACCGAACTCAAGCGTCAGCTTGAGGAGCTCCTGAGACTGGGTTTCATTAAACCCAGCAACTCCCCGTGGGGTGCACCCGTCCTCTTTGCTCGCAAAGCGGATGAAACTCTCCGTCTCTGCATCAACTATCGCGGTCTCAACCGCTACACGGTTAAGAACAGCTACCCCATGCCTCATTCCGATGAGTTGTTCGACCGCCTAGCAGGCAACCGCTTCTTTACGAAGATTGATCTTCGTAGCGGTTACCATCAGATCCGCGTTGCTGCAGCCGACCAGCCGAAGACTGCGTTCCGGTCGCGATTCGGCCACTACGAGTTCACTGTGATGCCATTCGGCCTCACTAATGCTCCCGCTACCTTTCAGAGGGCGATGAACGACATCTTCAGGGACATCCTGGAGCAGTACGTTCTCGTCTACCTCGACGATATCCTGGTCTACAGTCGTACCCTTGAGGAGCACCTCAGACATCTTCGCGACGTCCTTGACCGCTTGCGCAGACATGGCTTCTACGCCAAGCT